TACACGACATTGTAGAGCTTCCGACCGTGTAAATACTGATTAACATTATGGATAATGTAATAGAAGCGTATAATATATTCATGTACGCACTAAGTTACTTCTAAATAAAGCTCATTGAACGTGCTAGACTTTAATATAGAATTTTCGATATATATGATTTTCTTTCAGTTAACACTTTAATTAGATTTAGGAACTTAAGAAAAACCAAACGATTCAGACTATTTGCAAAACTCAATAATTTGAATATCCGCCAGTTCACAAAAAGAATAAAGTCGGTCTTAGTTACTACACTTTGCAAGTATATTATTATACTATCAATCATTATGACGTTGACAAAGGAGACTTAACATAATCATAGTAAACCTATAAACAAAATCATTACTTTAAATAAGAAACCATAATATTAAGTAATGAACATAGATTTTTTAATAATTAATTAATTTATTTATTAGCTAAGTATATAACAGTTGTTATATCTCAAATTTTTCTTTTTAGAGTCTAAGTCGTAAAAAAACCTGAGCAACTCAGAAATCCGCTTGATCTAGCGACAAAGTCGCTAAAACGGCAACGCAGGTGTACTCAAGCGACAGTCTTGCAACCTACCATTTTATATTTGAGTGAATTTTATGTTTTTTAAGACATTCAACGTATTAAGCAAGTCTGGAAAACACTTTTAAAACGTGATCCCACCTGATGCGAGTTTTATGATCATTGGGTCGCGTCGGCAAACAGAGCGAGTTTTATTACGGCGGTGCTCATATCCTTATAAATTCATATCAATTATAGGGAGTGCGCATATCGATTTGTTAATATCTATAGATTCTAGATATAGAAAATAAAATGAACGAAATCGGGCCCTTTGCCCAGTGACGATTTGAAAGCTTGCGAAGTATTTTAGAGCAATCAAAGACTCAATCAGTATTGGAACACTTAAAAAATAAATGAATTTAAAATCTTCATATGTTTTACCGTGACATCTTTATTTATAATATTTTACGGGCAGCTGATCTGTACTCACGTTCGGTCGTATTAGATACGTTTCACAACTGCGCGCGTGTAAGCTTCCCGTTGAAAAGATTTGATGGCGGGGTTAGAGATTTATGTCAAGGATCATAAAGCCGGGATCAGGGGATTTCAGACCTCCTAACATCCGACTGTGCCCTTTGTGGTTGGAGCACTATCCGGCTTCACTTCACTTTGTACCTCTCTTACTCCGCTGCCACTTACCTCGCGGGACGTTTTAATTCCATTCCGAGGAAAATTCGCGGTCAGACGAACCCGAGGGTATATAATATGTGGTGGAGTTGACGCGATGCCATCATCATTTGCTAAAGATCTATATATAGATTTGTTTTCCAGTGAAATCTAATATATATTTATCCTATTTACGTGTATTGTGTTGTTACTGTTGGGTTTTGTTAAGTAAAAATTTTATAATGAGAAATTTCAAAATTTTATAGTAAATAATAATGTAATATTTTATAGTAAGTATAACGAAAGTCTTTACAATGTATGTCGAATAAGTAATTTTCGTAAGTTTTTAGTTTTAATATATTTAATATAAGAGTTCTAGACGAGAAACTCGATAAACAGTGTAATTTTAAAATTTCCTAACTGAGAACCACGGAGAATTTAACACAGCGAAGTTTAAAGCTCACGACAAAATAAACAAGAGCAAAATCATAAAAATGTTGCGCTGACACAGTCCGCTCGTTAGCGGAGTCGGTTACGATACTCTAACAAGTACCAGACTTATTACACAGGCAACCGAACTAATGCAACGTTATTACTCTATCGATAGATCTGTCCAAGGAGTCTTTATCGGCCCATAAACACAACCCTATTAGATGTAAACAGAGGTTAGTGCTTACTAGACAATGTCTGCGGATTGATTATTTATGACGAGTTGCCATTGTTTACTAATACATTCACACGTTATTAACTTGACAATAAAATATAAGAAATACTCAAAAAAAACATTCAATTCACTACAATGTGTATTTAAAATAAAGCAAAATGCATAAATAAATAATTTAATTTGCTAAAAAATAAGACATATATTAATTCTAATTCCGATTTTCATTATTTTAGAACCGTGTCCAATTTATCTGTTTGCAACCCCATATAAGATTTCAGTTAGTGTAAGTATTAATTAGCAAAATTCACGCTCGAATCCTAATGGTTTGCTAATCCCTTAACAGTTGTTCCATTATTTCGTAAGCCGTATAACTAGTTAATATACCCACGCAAAAGTTAGTGCATAAATGAATTTACTGCATAAAGAGCTTATATGCAAGTTAGGAGCTTTGGGATTCACGACATTGTCACTGTACAATAAGGCCAATTTGTAATGTAGACGTTAGTGGATATATACTTTTATGCCGTCGAATTTACATTCAGATATCAAACAACAATAAGGTAAAACGACAAAGTTAACATAAGTTCATATTAATTGTTACAGTTGGATAATCTGATGCATCTCAATGGAGTTATTATGCCTGAAGAACTAAGTTCTCAAAGGATAATTATTATAATAGTTTTGAAGTTGCATAAGTTAAATTGGATCATACGTTTAAAAAATAAAGATTTCCACGTTTCAATTCTGTTAAGATTTCAAATAAAATTCTTTATTCAAATTATCCTATTGAAAACTTTTGATTCGTCCAATATTTTTATCTCCCCATTCAGGTCATATTTTGGCCGACATTTAGAATAGCTGTAACTTATCAGCTCCTGACAGAAGTAACGATATTAACATAAACTTAATAATACCAGATCAATATCCAAATAAATAGGTATTGGCTAGCGCAAAACAAAGCTAAAGCTCTTTAAATCTGATTGTAATCCACTTAAAATAATCACTAATTTTATTTTAGGTTTTACTCTTTAATATTATCCACATGTAGCTGTTGTAAATTACAGCTTGTTTCACACGCGTATTATGAAGCTTCCCGCAGATGGAAAGGTTTTTAAAATCCGTCCAGTAGTTTTGGAACAATAAAACTAATATTATTATTCAAATTTCATCTTTATGATATTAGTATAGATAGTAATAATACTTCTTCCTCGAAATTATTATTTCGTTTCACTATCTAAAATAATTAACGTTTGTTGCGTACTTAATAAACATACCGATTGTTAGAAATCCTAATTGGGCCTATAAATAATATTATTGAACATCGTATTTCTAGTTTATTCTTTTAATTAACAGTTTATCGACATTTTTTGTTATTACAACTTTATCATTTTGATTCGAAACTACAATGAGTTTTTTATTTAATTTGTATGTCAGAAGACACTTGAAACATTCTTTAAATGAAAGTCAATTATAATTCTTAATCAGTGGAGCAACAAATAAAATAGACAACGAAGCATTCTCCATCATTATAATGAAATTGCTGTCAAAATCTTCAGTGTTTAAGGTTGTTATTTATTATAACAGAAACAAACACAAACGAAATTATTAAAATCAATTATTTTTAAAGTCAGACTGATATAAACATTTTGTTATCGTAACAGCATTATAAATATTATCAGATTTAGGTGTAAGAGTCTGTATAGGTGCCTAGATACAAAGTTACTACAGCGAGGAGGAAAGCTAGCGATTAACCAGCGAGCTACGAGCGGCATCAGCTTCGGTTGGCAGTAAAGTACTTAGCTTTAGTAAGATTTCACCAGTTCGCTTTTCTCGTATATCTTAATTTTGAAAAAGGCTTCCCACTTATCAGTACAAGTGCAAAATTTTATTTCTTTTCTAATTAAAGACCATATTTGTCGATACTCGTGGCTTTGTGAAGGTAAATATTACTTACAGTATAATAAACTCGTTTAACGGAGTAGTGTATTTATTTATTTATTCTTTATTGCATTTTAACACAAAAGGCGGACTTAATGCCAAAGGCATTCTCTGCCAGTCTACCAGTAAAAGATGTTGGAGTCAGGATTTCAATTATTTCAAAATTATTTCATCAAACCTTTGCAGCTCAAAGCTCTTTGCAATATATGTTTTAATGTCTGCAAAAAAAAAACAAAATAATATCAGAATATTCTTATACATTATTTAGGATAGGATCGTCTATAGTTGTGTAATAGTTGTCGCTGCTTGAGCAGTTTACATCTTGTTATAGGTACGTAAGTACAATGAAGCCAACTGAATTAAGCCCTATGGAACCGAGCGTAAAGAGCGACTAATTAGGACGGATAGTCAACTCATTGTAGAATTCATTAGCGAATCGGCGAATGAACAGAACATTCCCATTGATGACCGAATAATTACCTTAATGTCGGCGCACCGGGAAAGTGATAGCATAGATATCCCTAACTTTCAAACTAAGCTGTTTCAGCTACGAAAAAATCTAGCAACTTGCTCCCAATCGGCCAAAACAAAGTTGCTATGCACAGCGATTCATAACATTTTACAGTTGGAAAAACAGAAAAGCTCAATAATTATGCTCGTAAAGAGAGTTTGCGGAAGCCGCAAAACGAAATTTAATTTGCCCTGAACGCTGCATCAGAAATAAAGTTAAAATAGTCGCTGCAGTAGGCAGTCGCACGGCAAACTTCTAACGCAAATGAATAGCGAATGGGAAAAGTTGGGTCGAGAAAAATGATGTCCCACTCGCCCACCATTGTCGCTGCTGTGGCCCGTTGCTGTTTTGTTCCAGATATTATCGTATTTAAACATACATAAACGTTCTACAAACGTCCTACATACGGAGTTGAAATACGACCTGATCATATTATATGTATTATTGTACATAAGGCTGTCGAAATTGCTAACTATCTATAATGTCTAAATTCCACTTTCGACATTAACAGTACGTTTCGAAAGTGTGAATGTTTTGAGAAACTTTGTTCAATTACTATAGTGAAACTATCTTCATTTATAGATAGTTCAGAAGGCAGTCATTAAAGTGAATGAAACGTGCGGCACTAGAAAACTTTGTTTTATAGCTCAAGTTCTCAAATAGTTAAATAAAAACAAAGTTTTTAGTACTTACCGTTTTCGCTGTTTGCGCTGACACAGTGTCTGGATACTGGATAAGTGCTTGGAATGAATCTGTAAATAAAACTTGTTGACATTAGTTAATTCTTATATTTAAATTGTATCCTTTTATTTTAAGTTTATTTAAGATTAAAATTAAAAGAACACGATTTTATATAGTATGCAATATAGATATATAAAATGCGTACAAAATATCTTCGGAAGCTTTTGTTCGGAACTGAATAAATACACGTTTACAACATTACAAAACCATTTTAGTAATGTCAGTGTAAAGTGCTCGAGTGTTGGTTGTCTCACAGAATTCTTGACAGGCAATATCTTGTTCATAAGGACGTTCAAACGAGGTGAAATTGGCGCCCAACATGGTGCTACGCGATACTCTGTGTACTTGAGAGATAGTTGTTTGTCTCATGTGCAACTCAAGTATTTTACCGACTGTGACACTTCAAAGAATATTCTTGAAAGTATGTCTATTTCAAGTTGTTACTCTACACTTTTATCATGTATAAAAGCTCGTGGGCTTAAAAGGCAGAATTTATCTTACTATTATTACATTGATAACAACTATCAAGCAATTAGACCTAATAAAACGAGTGGTAATGTTGTCGGAAAAAACACATTACAACCGAAAACCACTATAAACAATCGTGGCGTAGGAAGGAGTGTGGTCGGACCTCCCCACAAGTAATATAGTTCGTCCTCTAGTCTATTTACTGCGAGAGGATAAGCGTTAAACCCCCTAATTTAAGGCATGAGCCGAGCGATCATTGCCGACCGGGCGGATGGAACATAAATTCACATTTTTAGGAAACATCGCAAACAAGCAACACCTGCGTAGCTGTGCTAGCCATTAGACGATGTCGCCACGATGATAATTCGAATATTGTATTGCATTAACTTGTATATAATTATGAGAGCTCTAGACTTGGTGGTAGCTATTCGGTTTAACATGATTCAGGCGAGAAATCACATTTTTTTTACTATAGATAAATCATTCGTAATATTATTAATTATCATTAATATATATATTTCACTGCTCGGGTTTCATAAAATAAATAACGATATTGTTTATATTAGAATTAGGAGTTATGAAACTTAATATTTAATTTGCACACAATATTCAATTTGCACGATCAAGTATTTATTAAAAGTAGAGGTGAGAAAAGAGGATGAAACAATAACACTAATTCATCCCACCGAATAATTCAATAATATTTTTAGTGACATCGAAATTCAGATATAGTAGCTAAAAATGGAACGTTTTGGGAATTGTGCTTTCTGTTATCAAAAATTAGTTTGCAAGCAAGCATTACTCGTTGATATTTTACGCGTTCCCAGCACTAGAGAATAGGAGCATATTTATTTTGGGTAATATATCTACCTTTACCCGGTCATAGCTATAAAATATAGAAAGTAAGAGCACTCAAGGCAAGACCTGTCAGCGTAAATTAAAAGTAACGCGCTGTCTCCTTCATACATAGTTAAATGCTGTTTAAGGCCCCATATTTTCTTTGGGCCAGGCCATTTGGGACCATTAAAATGGAATGTATAAAAGGCTTACCATAAATTGGGTGTTTTTATGTAATTACTTCCTGAATAAGCAAAATTGTGTTGGTATTACGGGAACGTGAAATTATGTATATACTTCCGTGAAATAACATAATCAAATTATTAATATACCGTGTACATAATTCACTTTTCATTAAAGAGTTCTTATTTAATTTTTTTACTTGTCTTAAAGTGTCACATAATATTTTAGAATTTAATATTATTTCGAGACTATCATAAACTAAATAAATATATAAAATATTTAACAACATCACATACATTGCTCAGATTCCAAGATGAGTAGCTAAAGCCCCCGTATTATGCAGTATCTGAGACAACGAAGGTACCACAACACCCAGACCCGAGTCAATATAGAAAAGTTCATTTTCTACATTGACCCGACCGGGAATCGAACCCGGGCCCTGAGAGATGGCGACACCTTGAAACTGGCGTGCGAACCACTCGGCTGCGGAGGTCGTCAAACTGAGTTAATGATGAAATATTTAGAACTTTTTTTATTAAAAACAGAAAAATAGAAAGCAAAATAGTTAAAGAAATATAGTTTCTATACATATTCAATAACAGTTTCAGTATTTTTTTTATTGAAGTTAAGTAATCTTCGCCACATTACATATTAATGGAATCACAATTTAAAGTTATACCTATTTAAGCGAGATGTAAATGCTGAATTATAGCGAGTATAGTAAAATCACTGTAAAATTGCAGTCATTTTTAGTTATTGAAAAGCTTGCGGTCTCCGTATGAATCGCAAAGGAAAAACCCTGGAACCTTTTTTTCATATTAGCATCATATCAATGTTTGAGACACACTTTGTGACTCTTTGTTTTCTTCTCTAACAACAATATATTAATTTAAAGGCGTGAGCTTTGAATTGAGTAATGAAACCAAAAAGAAAGTGAATTTCACACGTTCATTGTAAACATCAAAAAAGGTAATATTTTCATTAAATTTTGGAAGTAGAAGCATTAGAATATTTCCCAACAAACAAAACAAAATGAAACAATTACACAAATGCCTCGGTTTAAGTTTACACGAAAAGTTAGACAGGAAACTTTGGAGGAAGAAGCTTGTATTTTGATTTATTTATTTAATTACACACTTAAACATTCGAGGAGCTAATCCAATAATGCTCCGTCTCCAATTCAAATGTGCCCAATCAATTGTCTGAACGCGTTTCTATATAATATTTCATTAAAAATTCAACTCGTTTGTGTTGTACAATCATTTTATGGAAAATATAATCTTCGTCAATTCGTTTGAATAAACAAGAAACATCAGTAATGGTTTTAAATTAAAATTTTGTAATCTACGTTTCGCATTTTAGCGGCAAAGAGGTAGCATCCGCTATATTAATATAGCGTGGGGGCGCAGCCCACTGCTTAACTGATTACTGCATAATTTGATATCTTAAATCTCGGCGACTCCGGAATGAGAGACTTCTCTCAACACTGAATGCTTCCTAGTTCGCAATTTGAGCGCCCTTTCATTCACCGCGAATATTTCAAACTCTCAAGACACAACTTCCGAATTTTTGGATTGCTCAAAAATTTGCAGCAGCTGTAGAATACTTTTTCCTTTCATCGACCAATTTCTTACACTACTAAATTAATTCATTATTTGTCCGTTCTCTATGAACTAATTATGATTGACGTAAGAACAAAAGTCGCAAGAGAAATGTACAAGAAACACACAAGATATCCGTTACCGAATCAAATCCTTAATTACGGGAATCCGAGCGACACAGAGGCGACACCTACCGCAAACAGGGGACGCATAATAATTGTAGCGGTCTGCTACACCTTAATAAAGCCAATAGGAATGAGGAGGGAGGGAAGGATTACGGCGACTCGGAGCACTCTTCATTGAGATTTGTTTCGGGATTAGGAACGCGTTTGATGGTAAACCTCCCGTCAGGTCAGCCGACGTGATAACAGCCCGTTTTTACGCGAAACATTTCCAATAATCGTATGGTAAAATATTAAAACATTTATTCATTACCTTAATGCAGAGTTCGCAAAATCAATGCTCGGTAACTTCTAAGCGATTAAATATATAAGGAAATCCGCTCTGTGATGTTGAAGGGTAAATATAAATAAAGGTGAAATATTAAATTTAACAAATCAGGGAAGCCGCATGTTTATTTGGAGAAGCCGACTGATAACCACTCAGATGGTGGAGCGTTCTAGCAGAAATAACGGTTTACCTAAATATTTCAGTCTTAAGAAAATAAATTGACTTTATGAAGTTAGTCGACATATTTTATATTATATTTAGAGGGTTTTAGCGCTCTATCACTAAAACAGTTTCGTTATAAAAATGGAATAGTAAAAGAATTAGTGAAATACAAAACAGCAATTCAATAAAAAGAAACTAATCCTTTATTTGATGAAGAGAATTAGAGATCAAGACTTGACTTATGTGAAAAATTCCATCTCAATGGTGGGGGTACATAGGCAGGCACTGTTTTAGATAAATAATAATCTGTCGTGCTGTATTTATAATAAGGATGATAATTATAATATATTTAACACAACCTTGCGTTAAGGTTGTAAGTATAAACTAATTTGTAAATTATTATTAGCCCCATTTTCATTACTGTAGCAAAAACATTAAGATCTGTGAATCAAAATAATTAAAAAATGTGTAAAAATGAATACAAATATACAAGTAAACCTCGACATTATTATATTCAGGTTACGATTAGTAGGGTGCCATAAATGATAGAGGGGAATGAAAATGGGGCTATTTATACCCATGAGACAGGATTATTAAAGCTATTCCGGATTTTATTATGTACCTAGTATAGTTATAGCTATGTTAGTTACTTCGAGTACAAGAGTTACATGAATATAAAACAAATATGTTTCTTATTCGTTTCAATAAATTTCGTATTCACTATCCTATTGTAATATTTCTTTTAAAATTACTCGCTACTAAGATAGCCTGGATGCTAGTAATTTATGTTTTTTATTCAAATATTATTATACTGGTAATAAAGAATATTGTTGATGGTTTTTCAAATATCAAAGTACATTACTTTGATATATTATTGAGTTATTTGAATCAGTTTCTATTTATATCTTTTGTATTGTAAAAGAAAGAACTAAATGAATAATTTACATACAAAAGAAGAACAAAACACATGAATCAAGTTTCGTAAAACTGCAGCTTTGTAATTAGACAATGACGAATGTAGTAAAAAAAAAAGTTGTTGTATCTAGAATTACTGAGCACGGAACCGTGCGGTGGACGGAAATTGGAAATGCTGCATTAACTGCAGGAATGTCATGATACCAACAAGTTATGTGTGTTCCTAGTCCGTGTAGCAAGAGCGAACAAAAAGGAATCGATGAGCAAATTCGATTACAGTATTTAGAATGTCTGTGCTCTAAACTGTAATCGATTAAATTAGCAGTTTACCTTGCGAATTTTCGAAAATAATATGACAACTCTATTGTTTTGACAACATGTTTCTTTAGAGATGTTGCCTAGTTAAAAAGAGATGCAAAGTTCTAAAATGTCATTTGAGTATGTGGAAATCGCGACCCGTGGTAGATGATAGTGCAGTAGCCGTTCTCGACATTTCAACGGACTAGGTTTTTAATTTTAAAAAAGTTAGCTATATCATTACCTGGAGCATAACACTTGACTAGCTCCCCTGAGAGCAATGTCCGTGGTTTTAAATAAAGTTGATTCGTGGTTCTCTACGAGGTGTACAGGTATAATTAGCCGAGAGTGAGCAGTACCGCCACAGCGCCCGCAGGCTCGAGGGCTTATCAAATATGTACCTACTACCTACCTACCTGGTTCCTGTGTGCCGCCGGATTTATTTAGGATATGCATGAGGGTACGATTTAAATTTTAAACGGATTGCGCCCTTGGATTTTGGGCCTCTGTTATGTTTGGAAAATCTATCACTATAACACTGGTCGCGCAAAATTAATTTTAAAGCCCATTTCAATTTGATTTATTACTAGTTGTTATAGCCGCTGTAATCCAAGGTTAATATGGACGCGCGAGTAGAGATAAAGGCTTATCGTTCATTATTCAATTGGTATAATGTACCTAATTAGGTACAGATTTAATAATGCAAAGCTTACTCGTGCTTTTACCAATTTCATGGGCTTTTAACGTTATAATTAAACGAAAACATCACGCGAATGTGTTTCGTGAAATAACAGTTCATATTAAAGTTACGATATCTTTGAGGCATTAATGGAAATTAATAAAAGAGAAGTAACACTTACTGTTTTTTGTGAATGTAACGATCTTGAGCACTTTTCCGTAGCGTTGGAAGATTGAGTACAGTACGTCGAGCACTATCGGGTATAGCATGTGTTCAATTATCACGCGTAGCACTGTGTTTGGGCCACCCTGTGAAATAAAGAAAATCATTAATTTGTTTTTAATTAATTAATGTCTCCAAAAAGATCCACTATTTTTGAACGTATACGAGGGTCAAACTGAAAGTTCTTAGAACTGGCCACTTATAAACAATATAATGAAAAAATAATTCTAAAATTTGAAAATATAACTCTTTGCCAATATTACTGAGTATATATTTCATTCATTTGTCATTTGTTTTACGATTTGGCGGCAAATTGAAAATTGTCTGTGTCACGTCATCATGAATTAACACGAGAAAAATTTTCGTGCAATGATTTTTTATGACTTTCGATGTCATTTAAGTCAACAAGAAAGTTATGATAGACTACGATTGGCCTTTCACGATGAAGCCCCATCTCGTGCGACTGTTTACAACTGGTTTAATGAGTTTAAACGTGGTCGCACTAATCTCACTGATGATTTACGTGAGGGACGGCCTTCTACGGCGACGACTGAAGATAACATCTGTGTTGTGCGGCGTATGATAGAGACTGACAAAAGAGTGACCTATCAACAGATTCGGACAAGCTTAGGCATCGGTATGAGTCAAGTGCACAAAATCCTCCACGAACATTTAGCGGTCAGGAAGCTTTGCGCCCGGTGGATACCTCATAATTTGACTGAGGGTCAAAAACTCCATCGTGTGGATTGGTGTCGTAAAATGATTGAAAGATTTAACGGAGGTGACTCAAATGCTGTGTTCGACATACTAACAGTGACGAAAGCTGGATTTACTGTTATGATCCTAAAACCAAAAGACAATCTGCTCAGTGGGTGTTTCCTTTCGAGGAGTTGCCAACTAAAGTGAAGAGAGATCGAAGTGCGGGAAAAAAAATGGTGGCCTCGTTCTTTGGAAGGATAGGTCATTTGCAACAATTGTGTTAGAGGATCAAAAAACAGTTTCTGCAGAATGGTACACTACCAATTGTTTGCCACTTGTCTTGGAAAAAGTTCGAGAGAAACGACCTCGCAGTAGGATCCTCCTTCACCACGACAACGCCTCGTCGCACACCGCCAAGCGAACGATCGACTATTTGGCGACATCAAACGTTGAATTACTGGGTCACCCGCCGTATAGCCCCGACCTCGCGCCTTGTGATTTTATTTATTTCCAAAAATTAAAGAAAAACTTAAAGGAAAGCGGTTTATGAATGCTGAAGAAGCGGTGGCTGCGTATCGCGATGCCATTGAAGAGACCCCTAAGGACGAGTGGGCAAAGTGCTTTTCCCAGTGGTTCCATCGCATGCAGCGGTGTATTGACGTGAATGGACAATATTTTGAAAAGATATAATAAAACTAATAACTGGCTAATGTAATCAGTTTTTGATTTTCTAAGAACTTTCAGTTTGACCCTCGTATAATAAAAACCAACTAAAATACGCTTTAATTACTCTATCACGGAGGTCCAATCAAATAATATGGTTTAATTTTTTATTGAACAATCGAGGAGTTTGATAGCGTGATCGGTTTACTTTTACATTAATCGATTATAAGATCGGTGGTCAATATTGTGTATTATGTCGAACTCTGTGTATATAATGCCCACTGTATATAATGTCGTTGTTAACCGCCAATTTGCAGTGATGGGTTAAGGCCCGTTCTGCCTATTCGTCATCATCTGAAGGGCAAGCATGTACCCTAGCAAAGGGGACATTAATAGGTCGATTACGATGACGTTATTATAAAACGATTGTACAAGTAGGTGCCGCCATTAACTTCTCACCAAACGGTTAAAATGTACTTTCAATCATCGTTCAAAGCCACTGAAAAGCTAGTAGAATAATACAGGTTTAATTAAAGACTGAAACATTAAAATTTTAAATCTTTGTAACAAAATATATATAGAATTCTAAATCACAAGAACATTCGTATAGAAACAATGTACATTGTTTAACGATTTTTCATAGCAATAACAGCTAAAGTTGCCTATTTACTTTTTGCCGTATAAAGAGATTCGGGCTTGGAATACGTATTTTACGCTTAAACAAAGAAAATTGAAATATCAATTTATAATAATTCCATAAGAAAAAATGAGTAACTAAAATAGATCTCTTGTAAAAGTGCGAAACTTGTTTTTAAATATTTGGATATTAGAAAATGACAAAAGAAATGAAAAAAAAAAACATTAGCCATATTGGAAAATTATTAAGGACACTCCTATGTCCGAAGAAGTTCCGAGGGATGGAATTGAAGCTAGCGTGTTGTTTTTTTAATTAGTAGCTATACGGAAGCTTACCAACTAGGCCTTTATGTACATTAATGGCTTACTTACGTAAGTTTTTATCCCATACGGGTTCAGCATTGGCTCTTCCACAGGTAATATAATAGGGCTTTCGGTATTTATGAAAAACGCATACCTAAAATTTTTTGTTACACATCCCACCTTTTTTATCGCAGATCCAACTATTAAATTTATTGTTTGTAATCGTTATGACGTCAGACTAGGGCTTTTAAAAAATACTAACACTCCTATCTATAGCCTAGAAAAGTAATTACTTGAGATAATGTCATAACATAAGCAAATATTTTTTACCAATGGCCGAAAATTTGCATGACGTAAGTACTGTTAATACTCGTAGCTAATCACATAGTATTCTAACTATTAACAGTAGTTACTTCGTTCAAATCTTGTTTATTTGCTACAAATATCAGCTGAAGTTATGACATATTATCAAGTAATGATTTCTCTTACGTATATGTACGAGAGTAACTCCTATTCGCAACACAAAAAATAAAATGTTAATATACTTAATACCCCAACCCTAAATACGGTGAACCTCACAAAAACGTCGAGAGGTACATCCCTCTGAGGTATAACGTTTAGTATATATTGACCAATGGGTCTTAAGACGTTAAGTCCGCTCTTCCGGTGACAATCCCGGCTTGCAGCCTCGACCGTCTGAGTTGTACTGTAACCACTAGGGAAACTGATTCAACCGTCTAATATTTAAGTTAGCTTGGTAATCAGCCTTGTTTTGCTGTTAAGCTGAAGGTTTGAGTTCCCTTTGCGTAATTAAGGTAGTTATATAAATAACCATATTTAAATAAAGGAAAAATTTACTTGATTTTTTTAATTAAGTATATAGTATGTATTTAATTACTTAAAATTAAGTTTAAAATTTACTTACTACTTAGATAAGTAGTAAGTAAATTTTGTAGTCAATTTTGTAACTTTGTATGTAGATTCATAATCACGTGTAAACCAGCCATACTATCATACTTATAATTGTAAAAAATTATTAGTGGGAACGGTATTAAATTCCATCCTTTAATGTAAGTAAAAAGCTTTTTTATAACATAACTTGTATGAATCAACATGACAATCAATACATGAGGGCCTATTCTATGTCCTTGAACAAAAATTCGGAAAATTTCGAAATGTTCTTATAATTTTCTGTGCAGAGGCAGCGTTTGGTCTACATGAGATGCATAGTAAGGCTTGGTTCAGTGCGACGCGGATAATCTAGGCGGATGTCCGTGGCGGACGATAAAATGTATATTTCCTATACAGTCTGTTCAATGTTATGGGGAGCTGGAGCGGATCGGAGCTCTAACAAATTTACCCGCGACAGACGCATCCGCTAATCCGTAGCGGAGGGACCGCGTCGCACTGAACCGGGCTTAAAATTATCGAAAAATGCATTTATCGGAAGTCGTAACACTATTTCGGAAATAGATGATATTCTGTGTTCGGAGTAATAAAATAGGTCTTCAGGTGTCATGTTAATTCATACAATCAATATAATAGAGGTTTAAATAATATATACTTGTATCTCGGTGCCTCCATTAGCGGGTTGAAGGGCGGCGCCCGCCCCCGCTACGAGTGCAGCTCCTGCGCTGTTGGAGATGGCTTGCGCTGCCTGCAGCGCTGCTTGTGCCGACGCCGACTGTCAACAAGATAATTAAGTCACTATTTAGATAAGTAGCGCCTATAACACCTCAGTTTAATTATGTTGAAATTAAAGTTACTGTGAATTTTATACTAATAGCGATAATAAATAATTATTATTCTTTTTTCCAGAATTCAAAACAATATTTATATTCTTTAATATTATTCTTTAATATTCTTTTTTTTAATATTCTTTGCCATAAAGTATGATTTTGGACTTCTATAACATCCGTCATTTTTTTCTGCACTTCCTCGTCAACTATCATTACATAGTTTAAATCGAAGTTGCTTACTCTGTCCCTATGTCCCTATATTAAATCTTTCAAACTACGCAACGGATTTTGATGCGTTTTTTTTAATAGATAGGGTGATTGAAAGGGAAGGTTTTTATGTATAATACAAGACCACGTGGGCGAAGCCGTTGGCGGAAAGCTAGTTATGTAATATTTGAATGGCTTACAAAGTATCAGAAAAGTCAAAAATATCAAATTAATCAATTATGTTGCGTTTAAATGCATTAAAAGGTGTTTTGTAAAATATGTAAGTCAGTTTAATAGAAACTTTTACATAAAAATATTGTTAATGGACATAAAAAAAACCTGTAAATCATATTTATGTAGTATTAGATTACACATTTATAAGGCGCGCGAGCCTTTAATACAACTGTTAACAAAGTAAAACTTCAAATGACAGTTGACTAAATCATAGAATTGAAGCAAAGTAAGCTTCTCTATATATACTAGACTGTAAGCTCGTTAAAATACTTTTTTACTAAATAAATGATATTTTGAGACGATACCCAGCAAGTTTTGCACAATACGAGTCCCTGTGTAATGGCATTAAAAATATTCTCATTATTTAAAACATGAAGATAATATAAAATATTTGTAACGAAATTGAAACAAATTCTGATAGTCTTATTATAATGTACAAGAATATTTTAATAACAAATTATTATAATATTTAATCACAGACATCATGACATTTTTTTATTTTACAATTACAATTTAATTTAATTGATATTGTGACATTATTTTTAGCTTCATTTGAAATTTATTATTTGATTTATATTATTATTGATTTGAAGTTTATTGTATTATAGTTATACCATTGACAGGCATTTATCCTTTTTTTATTGACTCACACAAAGATATGTTACATTACATATTTATCAGTATAATAAAAGAAAAATACAACAGTGTATCAACACACGCATTGAAATAATGTAACAATGTTCCTCCGGGAAATAAAAACGTGGTCACGTACAGAAACTAAACATGTCCGGCGCTCTCGTAACTTGAACAATGAGACCCAGTATTAGAGTTATCTTGTGAATGCGTGAGCCACCTTGAGTGCTAACGCTGTAGATAACATTGACCACGTCAAATAAAGGGGGCGCTCATAAACTTATTTTGTATCAAACAACAATTCACTACTTTGTTACGTGTTAGACAACCCTAGTCGTTAAGCATTTGTGAGACGACATTAAATAATTGGCAGAGGTTACGAGCAAATTTATGCTGCTGCATTGTAAAAAATGTATAGTGGAGCTTACACAAAAGACGGGCTAAGTGCAAAGGGAGCGCGAAGCTTGTTAAATGACACTAGAACGAAATGTAAAACCTCATATAGTTTGGTATAGTACTTATGATATAAGTATACGGTTGTAGGTCCGAAGTTTTAACTATATGAAAAGAATTGACTAAAATTAATTTCCGTTATATTCCCGGTCTAGGCAATTTAGAAAATGAAGTGGGTATTATGGTACGTTTGTCGTTTCGGATTTCCATAGTAAAAGTACTTTAGCTACATAATATGGGATCTGAGCAATGTATGTTTATTTATTTAAGCGAATTAATTAATCACTAAATATTATAAAACAAAATTTCACCTCCAATGTCTGTGTGTCTGTCTTGAATGCAAAAAACTTAATAACTATTGACTTTTACGCGGTTTTCTCTAACGCATGGAGTAAGGGGAAGATATAGGTAAGTATACATTAAAGTTTTGCACAAATTGTCTCGCTTACGTTTACTTAAGTTTACTTAACTACAATATCAATTGTAGGAACTTGAAAAAATTACGTATTTATACGAAAGAAATATTTTCGATTCATAATTGCTTAAAATGCTAAATTACTTTCAGATAATGTTGAGCGATTTTCATTTATAGAAATTTGGATTGTTTATGCCAAATTTGCTGACTGACATAAACATTAGTGTAAATGCCTTTTCAAGATTAATAAATAGAATTGAGATAATTTGTTGATTGATTCATCATTTAATAAAAGAAACTGTAAAACATATTTCCTTGGTGTATTCTTATTACATTGTTAAAGTCTCAGCTCGGTAACTGTAGTCTTTGGAGACGCGATCCTTTGAGCGCCGTTGCTTTGCTGTGTTGTTTTCACATTACGCCCGCGCACGGGTACTTTGATCCTATATTTTCGCGTGGCTTTGTGCGAGACGGGCTGACAAGCGGGCAGGGCAGACAAAAATAAGGCTTTGACAATGTCATGGTAAGCCTGCCGTCGACGGCAAAGACCCGACGATTTCGCGTTGACTTGACCCCCTTTTGCCATATTCATCGGTGTCTATACACAGACTACATACATTGACGGTATTAAAGTATTAACCCAATATTTATTGGTTGCTATAGACTCTTATTTGTTTTATTGTTTCAAAAACCATAATCTGCTATAAACGATTTTGGTAGATACTACTTTGTAGCGTTGAAATTCAAAAGATCGAGTTATTTTTATTATATATTCAGAGCGTTTTAATATCGATTTCGTCTACATCATTCCAAGCTAGCAAATTCTGATATCGAAAAATGCCGGATAGCGTTCGGAAGTGGCTATTTCAAATATTTTACGTACCCTAGTGGCGCGCCAAAATCTCAAGTTATATAAAAAGACGCGTCTTCTCCCCAGCTGAGACGGCTAGCGACAAAATGACTGAGTCGACTCCAGTTCAACCATCACAAAAACCTTTTGCACTGCATGAGTGATCAAAGCTGATATCCGATGAATTTTCTTCAAAGTGCACCGATTTTCAATACACACAAGATATCCAAAAGTGGATTCCTAAACTACGAGCGAATCTTCGTAACACTCACCATGAAAGTTGTTTCATAATTCTAATGTTGCCTTTGAAACGTTCCGGTCGCTAACAGTATACTACATACGTACATTTCGGAACATACTTGCTCATTATAAGTTTTAATAGTGTTCTTCGACTTATACAAGAAGATTACGGACGCATCATTTTGGGTTATGGCATCTTTAAATGAAGTTTGTTAGTTATCGCCTATGATACGAGTTTATTTTAATTTCACTTGAGATAGTTTTTTATTTATTACACGGGTATATATAGCGTTAACCCAAAAATGCAGCTTGTTCTTTAATATGGCCATTAGGGTAACCAATATTATAGACGTTCGCAAGAAATTCTGCACTTAAATTTAGAATGTCTGCGTTTGAAAATCTCAGCGGAAGACGAGTCATATAATGGTAACAAGACGACACCAAGTAGCATCATTATGGAGGGAGAGGAAGCACGGTGACAGGCGAACGTCACAATACCACCTTTAACTTAGCACAGCGAGTATTTCACTGTCTCCGCAATTATTATGAAAGTCTGAAACGAATTTCGATTTATTAATTTTTATGTCGGTATAAATATTGTTGTTGACGTTCGTGAGACGATTCGAAGTAAAAAGAATACTAAAAAGTGAATAGAAATAATGAAAAAAGTCTATTTAGTTTAATGATTAAAAAATTAAATACTTTATTTCCCTTTTTAGTTGGATAATATTGTTCAAATCTTACTTAGATTTAGATTAGTTGCAGTATGCATTAGTTGTAGTAATTAACCATTTTATTAAAAGTTTATTTTATTTAACTTTCTTTTATTCAAAAGTGGCTCAAATAAAACATGGTCGGCATTGGGTCACCTACTTACGCATGTGTACTAAATTTGAGCTCAATCGGCCCAGTGTTTGCTGATCAAATCAGCTGTTCGCAAATCAAATTCTACAGACGGACCCACATACAGACAGACGAAAAATAAAAAGAGGTTTTAGTTTCTCCTTCATCATCATCAACCCTTTTACGTCCCCACTGTACGGGCTCAGTCCTTCCGTATGGATGGTTAAGGAGGATGGGCCACGACCCTCCACGCTGGCCCAATACGGATTGGAGGGTAAGTTTGAGTTTCTCCTTAAAAGATAAGAAACCCTAAAATCAATATTAGTTATACAAATTCAATAAATAATAACACAAAAACGTAAATAGGAAGATTTCGTTTGGAAATCGTGTTACTTATATACGTTATTATCTTAAATTATCTGTCAGTCGGTTTAATAATTCCCACAAAGCTGTTTAGCAGGCGGCATTGTTTCATAACATCAGTATTTACTTACATATCAAACAGGGATTCAGACAAACAGATAATAGACACCTATTTGTATCTGTTTCGATTTAATCATCGCATTAATTAGCCATGATATTATTGACTTAGAAGCTTGTTTGTTGTCGACTATTCATACCAGCTATTGTTATTTATCACTTAATTATAAACACCACTGATGTAGTCGATATAGTATTTCTTTATATACTGCTACTATTAAAATTATATAGGATAACTATCAATATCAAATATTTTTTTACAGTGACTTCTACCAGTAAATTGTTTTCACAGGTTAAATAATACCTATAAGATAGAGACAAAGACTCGTACATTAAATTATCACGTCTAAATGACTTTCAGCCTCAAACATTCTCTCAATCACAACACTTGAAACAGTCAAGTATCCCGGTTAATTGTTTTCAGATAAATTAAGGTAAGAAACATCTCATCACACGATATTATCAGGCATCAAATGATTGAGGGTTTGTTTTTGATAGGTTTCTTGGATAAACGAAACTAATTAAGTGTTTTAATTAATCCTCCCATTGGGTGTTTTGTTACAGAAAATATTGATTTACTTTCCCGTATTCGGCCTAAGGGTAGGAAAGGGAATCTCTATGTTGGTTATTACGCACTATCCGTGGAAAACGTTGTTAGTTCACTAATTATCAAGGCAAAACAATTAGCGGACGATGTGCAATTATAACGGTGTGGTAAAATAAAAGAAAATAATTATTATGGTAGGTGGGAAATAGAGACGGCACTAAAAGGGTTAAGTGTAATTTTTAGTGTCGGGCGACGTTGAGAGACGTTAATTTTATACAAGCCTTAAGCCATGCTAGACTGACGGTGCTGAAAAAAGCAAAGAGAAACTCATTTGACATCCTTTTTATTGCCTTCAGAAGCTAAGGAGTGCTTAAGTTCGTATTCTGAAAGAAATAAATAAATAACCTGTCATATACAAGTAAAAAATACACTGCTTTATAACGTAGTTAACTAGAAATAACTAACATAGAAAAGCAAGAGGATAGCGGAGCAGGCTATTTATTGTAAATAAGGGTGCAACTTGTTAAATAAGTAAATAGGGTAAAAATCCGTTGCGACACTATCGGGATGAGCCATAAAAAGGCAACGGTAGTAATTAACTCCGGGTAGTGATAAGAACACCCTTGAAATTTCGTGCTAATACATCTATATTTCTGTTAAAACTTTACGTAGTCTTTAATAACATCGATAGAAAGCCACATTATTATTTATGTGTAAGCAAAATTTTAAAATCTATGTGAGTATATGGGTATGAATTTTTAAAAGGTGTGTCTTATTACAGCGCGGGTCATAATTGCAGTAGGTAACTTACGCAATTTCAAATATATTTTTTCACTGGAAAAATTCTAGAACGTTTAAAATTTAAACATCATTGAATACTTTTATATTTTTATTACAAAAATAGTATTCAATATTAGTTACTTGTGGTACGCACGTCGTTTCCCTTTATCAAAATTTAATACGCAGAAACAGTCGCAGTTAGGTAACTCAATCAAAATCAGAACAACGTCGCCTGTCCGTCCCACGTGGTATACGGGTTTATTGAATACTGTTATCTAAATTGTGGGTTCTTGATGCCCCTAACAAAGATTAAATTAACAGGTCGACTGCAGGCCACAGCCGGGGGTTGAATTTCCCAATTGGTTACCTCGGCTTTAATGCTCCATCGCATACGCTACGATAATCCGCTTGCAGAGTTGTAATAGGGCTAATTGAACTATCGTTACGATATTAGTGGAAATACACGCTCCGAACAGGATTTCAAATGTTTATTACGAATACAGTATCTATTTATATATAACGGTTCCTTTGCCTCTAGAGAAAAACGATTCTACACGATTTTTATGGATCTTACCTGTCGTTAACTAAACTCAATAAAAGAATACCGGTCAAGTCCGAATCGGATTCACGTAAAAAGATTTCCGTATCATTATCTATGAAAAACGCAAAAAAATCTAGTTTGTTTAATGGGAGCCCATTAAATATTACATATTTATTATTTTATTTTTATTATATCTATTTTTTAAAACCGTATGGCACAATATTAAAATGTTATAAAGGTTAACTTACACTGATAATACTTACAGCATTGCTGTGCGTCTGGTCTGTCTTGAGCTCTTTGTGGTTGGAGAATTGGACGTAGACAGCGCGCCCGCGCAGCTGCGCAACGCACCCGCCGAAATACGCCACCATTGCCACTGCCGAGATCTCCTCCGCCATTTCGAGGAACGCCTATTTAACAAAATCGATTTTGCTTTAAGATTTATTTTGCGTGATAAAGATATTTTTCAACCATTTTGAATGAATGAAAATTACGCTTTCATTTGTTTTTTTGATGATATAAAAATGACATCAAGGTAATTTGGTGGCGTTTAGTGAAAATCATATTTCGCTTTATTATAAAACAAAATTAACTATTATTTCGATGTCGTTATTAAATGAAATTATCTAATGAAAAAATAATTTAGAAAACCGGTCCACAATTCGCGGAAAAATCGGTAAACATAATCGTACATAAAAAATACATCGCCGTCGAACATATAAGCTCCTCCTTTTCAATTTTGAAATCAGTTAAAAATGGTGGGTGGTTATTAGAGTCTGATTTGTTGATTTAAATAAAAAAATGTAGTGTATATAATTTGATAGTGTTTCACTTAAATTTTACTATATTGTTAACACGATTCAACTATGGTTGGTTTGGAGTTCAACTATCCACAATAGTTCATTAGTTCACTCTTGTAAACAACAAAGAGCCAGCAGAGTTCAATTATCCAACCCCCATCATGTATAGACTTGATAGTCTAACAATGTGGATTAATCCAGCATGCACTATCCATAATTCTAAGTGCCTCATGATTTCGAGGATCATTCGGTCAGAATTTAGCTGTTTGCGTACGGTTTTCACGTGCTTGCAGATCGTAACCACAGGATTCTGCTTTTGGCATTTCAACACGCCTAGCCGTATGAAACACAACGTTAAAAGCTCTCGCGTTGCCGCAGATTAAATAGAATATACGCCTGAGGTTTATAAAAAAACAAATAGTGACAGTGAATGCGGTGGGAAATAGGACAGCCATTCAAACCGGTCTATGTTGATTTGTAAAGAATATAAAAATGGTAGTTCACGTTGAACTAATTATATCACAGATACAGTGAACTAATGGAAAGCTTTACTAATGAAAATTATAGAGCTGCATACATTTTATGTGAAATATTAATAAATAAAATTGCGTTGGAAAATTATCGTGTTGTTTTATCTTATTTATTAGATGTTAAATAAATTGAAATTAATATTCCGTTTCTCTACACGTGCAAGCTTCACCACTAAGTATTGAATAATTTTGGAGATCAAAGCTATGTTTCAATAACATGTTTTAGTTCAGGTCAGCCATCTAAATACAGGTGAAACTTGTGCGATTAATTAATTTTATTATGTTAATTATTTTGAATATAGAACGTCCTTTTTCAATCGGGTCGTTGCAAAACCAATTTATAAGTGCAACCAATATGTCATGTTGAGTACTGGTAAATTGTGAAGCGGCCTCTTCCACTTTAATCACCGAGAGTAGGCGATTGTTGCGTCCACTAGCCATGTTTACCTATCTCTCCATAGACGTCACCTTTGTAACCAGAATCCCGAGCTATAGTTTCCGTCCACCTCGATACTTTCCATCAACCTCTCGTGACTCAAAGGTAAAACCCTGTGTGAAGTACTTCCTTTCTACTATCTAGATAGTTTCGAATAACTTAAATATGTTTACGGTTATTTAAGTGATCAATTTGAATTTTTATAAATATCTAATTTAACGTCGACGGCGATCATAAAAGATAAATAATATAGTCGCTAGAAAGCTTTCACGTAGTGAGTAAAAACTTATGAAACTTTTCCAGCGCTTTTCACCTTGAGCATGGAGCGTGGCTCTGGAAAAGATACGGAATATTTCATGACAAAAAAGCAAGCAAAGAGACTGTGACCGTTCATAAAAAGGGATTCGACTCGTTTCTCGCGGTAGAAGAGAGATTGTTTTCCTTCACGCCACGGTATATAGCGAAGGATGTCATACGGGCTATTTATTAGACGGGATAACATTGTCGTGGCGACCGAGACCACCCCCGCCTTAATGGGATTTTCTTTCATCATTTTATTTCTCGGCTGTAAACTAACTCATTTTTAATTTGTCAGCGGCCGCTCGCACACCGTAAATTTCGCATTGCAACTGTGCGAAAATAAAGTCGACAGTAAAACACGGTGTCTTATAACCCGTTCGGGCGCAGTTTGCTCTCACGATGTGGACGTGTTACTTGATGGATTACTAACTGTACCGTACGAACATGTTTACGGTACGACACATTTTGATATAGATGATTCATAACGGTACATTGTAAACGCTAACATCACATTGATGGAGCCTCGGTTACATTGTTGGATAGATTTAATATTTCCCTATATATTTTTTTACAATAAATAAGACAACTTGATGTACTTCCGTATCTGACCAGTTCCGACGAGTCTGTGATTTTTTAAAATTACAATAGAAAAACATAAAAATTCAACGATATATTTTCAAGGTTATAAGATTCGATATTCAGAAATCTAGAAATGAAGATCAACCTTTTTAATTCACTAGTTGTTTTACCGCGACTTCGCTCACCTACATTATATAGCATAAATCACAAGCATATAATATAGCTTCTCTTAGGTGAAAGAATTTTCATGACCTGTTCAATATTTCCGAAAATAACCGCTAGAAAGAAAGTTGTAAACTTTACCTCTTTATAAATATTAGTATAGTTTTAAGAGTACATTTATTTTAACATTGTAATTACAAAATATGGAAGCATAAAGATATCACTTTCTGACAAGATTCAATGTTATGTAAAAGAAAATAATAAAACCACAGCAGATATCTATCTACGCTCGCGCATTCATTGAGATTTGCTCGACCCAAATTTAATTTATTTCAAATTTCTCGTCGCCTGTCCCTTAATTTCCGCTAAACATGATTTTTGATGCAATCTCGTGATCGGGGTCATTTCGCAGTGTCCTTGTTATGGTAAAAAGAAATGTAGAAGAAAACGTCAAATAAGCTCAATTCCGAAATATGGTGTTTGTCAGGTCGTTTCTTAAGTCGTTTTAGTTAGTTCTTTCGACGCTATGTTTTATTATTACATCTATAATATAAAAAAATCGGTCACGATCATTGGTAAATTCCAAAACTACTAAGACTGTTTTAATTATGTTTTACGTGTATCTTTAACCCGGTCTAAAAAATATTTTTTATATTAATTATCTATGTGAGTCACACCAACCTGTGGTCTTCTTCAATCAATACTGTATTATAAAAGGGATAATTTTGATTGTTTGTTTACGTCAAAATGGCTCTTAAACAATTGGACCGAATTTATATTTTTTTTCACCTACGGGAAGTTACAAAATACACCAGTAACATAGGCTATAATTTACGCGTGCGGGAAAACAACTATTAATATATAATAAAACAAATTGCTCTCGCAGTGTCTGTCTTAATGTGATAAAATTTAAATGATTTACGTGTGGTTTTATATAAATAGACGGAAAAAATAATTTTGAAGGTTATAAGATTCACGATTGCTAATTCAAAAATATATCAATATCACCAATGGTTCACCCATTTTTTGTACAATGAAAAGTTTTTTTTTTCATATATAAAGTAAATGAAGAATATAACTTCTTTACGTGGACTAACAAATACGTCGTTAGTCCACGTAAAGAAGTTAAACGCTTAAAGTAAAAGAAAAAAGTGCGATAACTTTGCTTATATTGCGGTGTCTAAGAGAAAGACTACAAGACTACAGTAAATCTCTAATATCAAATTAATTGTGATTATAACAAATCAAATGTAAATGAACTGTAATTTAAAATAAGTTAGATAATGCAATTTCATTTTACGGTTTATGTAATAACGGAATGTAACGTTTATTTTAGGAAATATATAATTCAACATAACAAAATAATTGAGTCCCTGTTTATTATAAACTTATATATGCGAAACAGCTTATAAATGTATTATTATTTATGAGTAATTCATCATATCAAAAAGCTAACGGGGCGCAGGACGCCATTGTTATTATTTTATTATTTCGGCGTTAGGTTTCCTCTTAAAATAGAAAGATCCTTAATAGACGAAACAATCGCAATAGAAAACAGAGCCAAATATCTATTACCACCTCATTTTTAAAGTAATAAATCTAGCAATCGAAATACAAGTATAAACAAAAACATCCACAGTTCTTTAAATGTAACGGAAAAAGATAGCACGAGAAAAAATAAGAACAATAGTGTAGTGTTGACCTCTTTAAGCTATGCCTAGTCATTATAGGTGAAAAACGAGAGACGAGTAGGTGGAGGATGGTGGCTCACATTGTCGGCGGCCTATTTGCGGCGGACCGCACTAGCCCACTTGTTGTGCTTCCGGAGCGACAACTATTGTGAACACTGTTACATAGCCGAGTTAATTTATTAAATGAGGGTGGCGTGATCTCTTTCCATGTTTTGAAATCAAAGAAGTCTCAAAGATATAGGCAGTCCATAAGACTGATTACAAACATGCATCATGCTTCATACGAAATTGCTAATTATCTATTACAGTTACATATTTAAAAGCACATTCTATTATTAGAACAACCCTCATCTATGTGCAATACTAATAAAATTGGATGAACTCCGTGGCCGAGTAGCTAGCATCTTGGGTTCAAGGTGTCATCATATCTAAGGCAGTTTCGTTTTCCGGTCGGATTAATGAGAGAAAATAAATTTTTATTATTTTTCACTCTAATTAAATGTCATATTAGAATGACATGAACAGAACTATGTGGAGTTAAACAACCGTTATAAGTTTCTTATTAATAAGTGTGTAAGTATAATACGATAAAAAACGAAATCCCTCTCTCACTATGCTATTTGTAATAACCACATAATATTTAATGGTCGTGTTCACTACTGGTCATTTCCTGTTTCAGAATATTCTCAACATTAGTTACCGATGTTCATTCGAATAACGATAATAAACAATCGTAGGAGATTTCAAGTTTAATGAGCCGTTGTGGTTTCAAATAATCAGTTTCAGTAAAATTAATTATAAAATTATTAATGGTCCAAACAAAATAATTTAGATGGAAACGTATTTCAATTTTGGAGATATTATTGTATTATTTTCCAGTGTAAATTGTCTAACAGCTTTTAAATGATAACATTGCTAACAATGCGATTTACCGTAGAGATGGGCAAATAGATTCTAGAGGACATTGTATTTGTTTGGGTGAAGGGGGTTGCACTGGCCTCCTTACTGATGTTTGTTTAGTTGAACAGGCTACCCAAAGAAAATATTTATTTTACCTAGATATATTTATTTTAATCGAAATAGAACGTTTCTTAAAAATGATGAAAACTATCATTGTATCTGATAACAATAAAACGAAGCCTGAATGACTATCACCGCTACAGAGTTGGCGGTACTCGCAGTTGTAATAAGGGCATTAGGCAATCATATAGCTTGTTTAAATAGTATATAATAACTAAAAAAATAGTTTTAATGAATTTATAGTTAGTTACTGATGATAGCTCGGTCGAGTGGTCTGAATTCGACCATCAACTTTTAAAATTAGAACAGTTTTCGAACGCGGTACGAGATACCTACATTTTATTATGAACTAGCTTTCCGCTAGAGGATTCACCCGTGGGTACTGTATTAAACATATAAATCTTCTTGAATCACTCTGTATAATATTAAAACCGCATTAAAGTAAAACAACACGATGCGATTTTGTTCTTTTTTTATGTCAAACTCATGGCAAGTAAGGTTATGGATATCATGTGTATGTTTTCTTAATCTCTTCAATATATTTTTAAGAATTATCATAAAAAATCGAATGCTGCAGTTCTCCTTCACATAAACTTTAATTATGCCCAATTGCATATTCTTACGTCTGTGCAATGTTTCAAAGTTATTTCGTCACATACCTGTTAATTTGCATATCTCATACATTGATTTGAAGGTGATTTGGAATGGCGACGTCTTCCGTCCATGTCGCTTTCTCACGAGGAATATCTCTTAGATATTATATTTTGCATTATAATAATATATTTATGCACGTAAACTCCTACTTAACCCTAAAGTGTAATGATGTGTAATCCTTACCTGATTTTTGCCTTTGAGCACGAGAACGTTTGTGACTCTGCCGAATGGTAAGCCAAGCTGTATGATCTCTGCCTCCGTAGTTTCGTTAGGGATGTTCCGTATGTGGATAACGCGGGACGGTTTGCCCACATTTTGTTCCAGTTTCACCTGGTGAAATAAAGACATGATTAAATTTTCGCTGTTTATTAAGTTACTGTTAAAAATTAACATTAATTGTTTGCCTACGACGACGTCGTTATGAGTAAAATTTATACACCTAATTTATTTAACTAAAATATGAATAAACTAGCATACTTTTAATTATTTACTTGCTTATTAATATTATTATCATGTGAAAGTTAGTTCAGAAATTATGCTATCATCACTAACGCAAGCAGAATAATTTACTGAGACTAGTAGTCGCCCAATTATCGAAAATAAATTAGCCATGCTATATTTTATACTCCTCCATCTGCATAACCTTCGTAAAAAAGGCCCAAAGTTTGTGCATCACGTATTACCATCATGATATTATAGTAAACGAACTCAGGCTGCGTTGTCCTCATAAACGAGTGCTATCTGTGGAAATAGGTCAGCTCTGCACTATTTAAATACTCTTCTACTTTTGTTCTAAAACATTTTAACTAAAATATTTCCCCTGCTTGTACTGATGACATACGAAAGAATTATACTGACATAACATTTTATATGAAAATTGTTTCTTCTTAATGTCAAAGTAATGAACAATCTTTTTCAATCTTAATTAATTATTATAATGGAAGTGACTTCCTACTCTTGAAACCATCTTTGAGTAACGACTTTTTAAGTAATAAAACAGGAAAAAACAATCTTTGCTGCTTTTCTTGTCAATTTTCTCAGTAAAAGGTATACCAACGTAAACTTGCAAACCTTAAACAACTTAAACTAATATACTCAATTTGTAGTTGAGTTAATGAACGTTTATCTATTGTTTTAGCAAGTGTTGTTAATTGAACTCCTTTAGCAAGAGAACAGTTTCAGTCGGTATCTTATTTTCTTTAATACATCAACCACATATCGGTGTAGAATTACTTAATTTGTCGATTGTATTTTTTTTATTAGTGAGCGTCTTGATAGTCGACGCTTTCTACCTCCATAGTATAGTTGTAAGTAACACCAAAATAAACACCTTGGTTGTTGTCATAATTTCCATTGTTTTCTAGTTATATTTATGGTTGGTATTTTAAAGCTGTTTACCTTTGCAAGATTTAAGTAAACTCCTCTTTAAAATCAATATACGGTAAATAGCAATTCCGCTTACATCTTGTCGTTTGATAATCACTCAAGATCAACTCGGTTTCCTGTTTGAATATTAACCAATTCAGTGGATGGATTCCTAAACAGCACAATTGAATCGAGTGACAGTATTCTAATACGCATAATACCTATGTATAAATAAATCAATTAATGTTGGGCTCCAAAAGCGACGTCTAAACGGCGCGCAAATGACCGCTCTAATATACATAAATAAACCAAGCATTGTTCACGAGGAAGAGCCGCCTGGATAATTGAAAAGTCGATGTAGTATAATTGTCGAGGCTTATCGGGCCAACCCCGATGTGGGTGCCATTGTTCCCCGGAGAGGCTTTTGATTACGGCGGCGGGCCGAACCGAGTTCCAAATATATTGTAGCTTTGTATGACACTCCACTTTCTATTGACGCGAAAAGATCAACCTGCGTGGTAACAATTTCACTCGAACGCCAAATAAAGAAACATTGTCTCAAGACTCTGTAATTAAAGCTATTCTAACAAGATTTATCTTGGGAAATTAGAGAACAAGATTTTCGGGGCTGGTGTACCATCTATCCTCCCATTTTTACGTTCTTTGGCGGGCGGTGAAGCGTGGAGGTGTAACAAATGAGTCTAATGCCTATTAGTTCGACTTTGTTAAGTTCAGACAAAGTGAGCAGCCGCTTTAGCGAAAGTATGGGACAAGTTGTATTACTTTCTGAACTGTTCTCATATAGACATCTTAATCTGTAACTCTTAATGAGAAGAAATTTTTGTTGGTTTGTTCGAAAATAACTCAGCTTTTATTCAATGTTATTTTGACATATCGATCGGATTTGATCTACGAATTAAATAAAGGATCTTTATTGTGATAAGATTATAAAAGAGAAGCTCTTAGAATAATCCAAAGGTTACTTTCATTATCAAAAGGGCGAAATCTCCGTGGGTAAACAAATAAAAATATTTATTTTTTACTCTACACCGTAAAGGAAAGGGAGGAATAAATCTTGGAAGGTGCTCGTTCACCTAGAGTGTACATTTCAGTATTTTCTCTTCCGACGAGAGAAAACAACTGGTACGTAAAACGTAAAGAAGGACATTACTTTCGCTGGGTCAGAAAATCTGCGAGGAGCGATTTCCACATCAGACATTTTAAATCATTCGCTCGGTCTCACATTTCATCCATAAATATTAAATCTTGGCTTGGTTGCTGGGATAGAAAAAAAAGAGATATCGTTTGACGTTTCCCTAAGAGGATTTCCCGGAATCGGTCAATTTTCCCGGTGATCGCGTCGACTGTGTTTATTGAAACACTATTTCTCAGTTGGCCGCCTCCGAGAGCGGCGTCATTAGCTATATCATCCAGCCGTTGCCGGTAATGATCAAACAGCCTTCTTGGAATCGAAAGTACCTTAAAACAAATACAACTTATATGATCGGAAACAGGCTTCTATAAATATTCCTTGAATAATGTACCATATCATTATTGTTTCCTAGTAAATTACTGATGTTGTTCGTGCTATAGTTCATCAAATGTCATCTAAATACTTCGGTAGGTACTATTTATTTCTCATTTACTTCTTCATTTTTATTAGTACTTCATCTCTCATACCGAACGTTTGTTTAACAGATAACAGAAGAATAAACAATTCTGGTAAGCAATTATATTTAAAATGCTAAAACAAATTAGTAGTAAGATATATCATCAGCTATAAAAAGTAATATGTAATTTTGTACGACAGATAAAAGAATTTGCTAGAATCTTGACAAAATACCGAGGGGTGGCAACGACGTGTAATCCGCTCGCGGTGAGCGGCCAGACATAGGTCGCGGTGGGCAAACACCACGTAAACATCATCGCGTATCTATATCAAAGTATCACTGATGTACAAGTACCATTTCGAGAGATTTCTGTGTTTGTGGTAAACATTTAGATCGGACGAGTAGGTATTAGGCACACTTAAATCGTTCGATTTGACGATTTCGTGTGTACGCGTGGATTTCTTATTTCGTTTAAATTTCGGGCTTCAAAAATGAAGCTTGTCAACTTGATTATTTTTTTATATATGCAATTATATCAATTTTACGAGTGTAGGTTGTTTTCCTCCTTAACCATCCATAAGGAAGGCCTGAACCCCTGCAGTGGGGACCTAAAAGGGCTGATGATGATGATGATGAGGTTGTTTTTGTAAAATTTTTGTTTCCCATTCCTATATATTCAGTATTTTAACTAGTTTATCACTTTGGGACTAAAGCGATGTCGACGTTTGCCTAAAATTTAATTTTATGTTTTCAAAGTAGAAATATAATAGAGAAGTTACTAAGTTAATCATAAAGCAATCCGTCGTGAGTGAGCACTTAAGCCTGAATTCCGGGAAATAAAATAAAAATGTGAAACGAACATACTCCAATGTTTCCTTAGATAAATTTTAGTATGTATAAGTGAAAATTTTATTATTAGTTATTTTTGTTATGTCCCCTATACCTTATAAAAAATTCAAAATAAAAAAGATTCCAAAATTAACGTTGAAATTCACTTTATTCAAATTATTTTGAATGGTACATTTTATCCAACACTCGTTCTTTTAGGTGAGGAGAAGAAAAATCGCAAGAAACCCATTAATATTTAAAAAAGTCATATCACACCATATCATTACAATAACAAAATATCTACAACTAGCTGTTTTAGCGACTTCGACGTTTTATTAGCGAAGTAATTTAGGGGCCTATTCAATGTAAACAAACAAATAATAAAATCTTCATAAAATTAGTATAGATCACATATCAAAAAGGGTTCAATCAGACCCTTTAGGAAACCTTTCTAAATAAATCTTAAATCAATGTTGTTGCTCTTTAAGAAAGACACAAAATCTAAAGAAATATCAAAAACCAGTTATAACAAACTGTAAAAGACATTATATTATTGGGTCTTAAAATCGTAAGATGGTGTTTCACCTTTTTAGATCTCGCTGTCATCTGTTTTTCTATTTATTATATGTCTATGGTTTATTTTAATTTTCAACTATCCAATCAATCACCCTGTTGTGTGCAATGGTTGTTCCTTTTTAAAGTATACACTCGAATTAATTTTGAATTAATTTTGACAACTGAAGGTTGTTCGCAAACATTGATGACTGTTACTTGCAGTTACATATATCTTTGTTTCTGCTTCCACACATCTCAGGGTGAGAAGTAAGCAGGCTAAAGGCGGTGGACATTGACGAAGCGACAGGCCCCCGAATAAGGAACCGGTCACGTAATAACTTCGTGAGGTCAACATTGTGTATGGAATAGAAATTGTTTGACAAAACTCAATTATCATTATGACTACTATCGTTATATCTATGAATTTAATACATACTTGGTTATTTAGAACATAATTTACGCGAGCGAAGTCGCGGCAAAAGCTTGTTACTATAAATAGGTAATTGTTTTAAACTAAAACAAACTTTTTTCTATTAAAGCTTTATTTCTCATTTGATTATCTTGATTTAAACACACTTTAAGGCAAGTTATGTACTTGCCTTAAAGTGTGTTTAAATCAAGAAGTAAAAAAAAAACACTACATAGTATAAAACAAAGTCGCTTTCTCTGTCCCTATGTTTGCTTAAATCTTTGAAACTATGAAACGGATTTTATGCGGTCTTTTTTTCATAGATAGAGTGATTCAAAAGGAAGGTTTTTATATATAATGCAAGACCACGCGGGCGAAACCACTGGCGGAAAGCAAGTAATAAATAATTTAGAAACAGAATCAAAATAAAGTATACTATCCCTCGACCATTGTATCACCAGTCTGAGTTTCAATTATGTTTAATACCTATGTGGCAACATATAAACAAAGTGTTTATATCCCTCTAGGCACACTGAAACTGAATCTAAAATTTTTAACAGAAA